CCTCAAATGTTCTGAATGTGGGAAAACTGGCCATGTGGCCAAAGTTTTCATAAAGGCACGTATGAATAATAAGCAAAGTAGGGAAACAGCAAACCAAATTGACAAGTGTCACAATGGGATTCTATCGATTACAAAGATCCAAGATATTTATCAAACAAATTCAAGAACATCAGATAGATTTTTCGTCACAGTTAGTATCGAAGGCAGACCTGTACAATTTGAAATCGATACCGGGTCTGGCTATACATTTTTACCCAGAGACATATTTGCGAATCTAAACATTAATGTTCCGCTATTGTCATCAAACAAGGCATTTCGATCATACACAAAAAACGTTTTCGTTCCCGATGGGAAAATTTTGGTACAAGGAGAGCATAAAGGTAATGCGATAACAGATGAAATATATATCGTGCCAGAAGAGTATACAGCGCTCCTAGGGCGTAATTGGATTAGGAAGCTCAACATAAATTTGAACGAAATCAACTCTGTATATTTAACAAATCCTTCAAGCCATATAGATATTATCAAATTATTGAGCGACCAATTTAAATCAATCTTTGAAAGCAAAGTGAGTTGCGTCAAACAATACACAGTGTCGCTAAAGTTAAGGGATGGGGCAAAGCCTATTTTTAATCGTGACCGTGAGGTTCCATATGCCTTAATTCAGAAAGTTAATCAAGAGCTTGACGAGTTAGAAACGGCGGGAATAATTTCAAAAACTGAGATTAGCGATTGGGGATCCCCCTTGGTAGTTATACCAAAGGTGGGCGGAGGTGTACGCTTATGTGTCGACTATAAAGTAGGAGTAAATGAACGTCTAGTGGACGCACATATTCCGATAAGGAAAACAGAAGACTGCTTACGTAATTCAATGTATTTTTGTAGGTTAGACCTAACAAAGCTTATTTACATATACCAGTCGATGAAGATTCGAGCATAGTACAAACGATATCTACACACCGCGGCACATACAAGGTGAATCGTTTATCCTTCGGTATTAAGACGGCACCATCCGAGTTCAACCGAATACTTAATCAAATACTCCACGACGTCCCAAAAACAGAAGCATACTTCGACGACATTATAGTTCACGGGGCAACAAAACTAGAATGTAGAGAAAACTTATACAAGTGTCTACATCAACTACAGAGTTTTGACCTTCACCTTAACAAAGACAAATTTACTTTTTTTCAAGAAGAAATTGAGTTTCTTGGGCACACAATCAAGCATAATCAAATTTCAAAATCAAAAAACAAAATAGCAGCAATCGTAGATTTACCTAAGCCAAAGTCGGTTGATGACGTCAGACGATTTCTTGGAATGGTTACTTACTACGCGCGTTTTATTCCAAACTGTTCAACAATCACATCTCCACTGCGTAGTCTAACCAAGAAGGGTGTAAAATTCAATTGGTCGAGACAATGCGATAAAGCGTTCGATATTATCAAAAAGGAAATAGCAAGCGATCGTGTACTCGTACCGTACAATCCAGCGCATCAGCTCCAATTAGCGTGCGATGCCAGTCCAACTGGAGTCGCAGGGGTATTATCTCATATAATAGACGGTCAGGAACGACTAATTTCGTTCGCTTCTAGATCTCTTACAAAATCCGAGCAAAATTACTCACAAATTGACCGAGAAGCATTAGCAATCGTATTCTCAGTCGATCATTTTTATCAATATTTGTTTGGAAGGCAATTTATTCTTGTTACAGATAATCAACCATTAGTACGAATTTTCAATCAAAATGCGAAACTACCACAAATGAGTTTTTCGCGCCTTCAAAGGTATGCAGTTTTTCTTTCCGGTTTTGACTATCGAGTCGTTTACAAACGAGGGATAGATAACGCTAACGCCGACTGCCTGTCTCGAGCTCCAGTATGTTCGCCACATCTAGCGGACACCATTATCAACAATAAAATCAACCAACTCTGTGAATCGACTATACAACAAATTTCAACGCTAAAACTAAATCATAATACTCTCAAATTAGAAACTGAAAAAGATAGCGAACTCTCCGCACTATTGCAAAATCTAAAAAACAAGCGGATAGAAAATACAATGTTTACAATCAACAATGGTATCATATTTAGGGGTCAACGCGTCGTAATACCTGCAATCTTACAACAATTGGTACTAAAAGAGCTTCACCTTACACACATGAGTATTTCAAAAATGAAACAACTAGCTCGCAGGTACGTGTATTGGAAATCAATAGACAAGGACATCGAACAACTAGTCAAAGAATGTGTCGCATGTTCAACGGTTAGGGCCTGCCCTCCAAAAGTCAAATTACACACATGGGAGGAACCAGAACAAAACTGGCAGAGGATCCACATCGATTATGCAGGGCCTTTTCAAGGATATCATTATTTGGTCGTGATAGACGCAAAGTCTAAATGGGCTGAAATTGGGCTGACAAATATAGCACCAACATCCAGTATAACAATTGAAATGCTAAGTGACGTATATGCAAGACATGGGTATCCGGATGTAATTGTATCCGACAACGCCACAATATTCACTAGCGACGAATTCAAGCTGTTTTGCTCAAGTCATGGCGTCTTCCAAAAGTTCATTGCACCAGGCCATCCAGCTACGAACGGGCTAGCCGAACGCAATATTCAAACGTTGAAACAACGTCTTAAATGTATGACAGACGACCCTCGTCCTATGCGAAAAAAGTTAAGAGAAATACTTTTCCGCTACAGGTCAACGCCATTGAAGTGTGGAAATACTCCAGCAGAACTGTATCTGGGAAGACAGATACGAATTCAACTGGACACACTCAAATCACCTAAAGTGGATAGCCAACGTACCGTTCAAAGACATGACGTTCGTCAATTAAAGGAGGGAGAGAGAGTACAAACCCGTTATTACATCAACAATAAAAAGTCATGGAAATTCGGTACAATCATCAAAAAGTTGGGTCACCTTCATTACATGATCAAATTAGACGATGGATATATTCTCAAGCGCCACATAAATCAATTGCGCGCAACAAGAGTTCCATCACATACTCCAACAGCGAGTTCGACTAACACGTCATCACAAGATTGTGAACCAGATAGTTGTTCCCCAAATTTACAGGACCTCGTACAGGTTCCAACGAATACAGAGAATCGTCCAAGGTCATCTGACAGCGAAGGACACAACACTCCGGTAACAACAACACCCCGGAGATCCGAACGGCAGCGTCGGGCACCAGCATACTTGAATGACTACCGACGTAATACTTAAGCAGGGGAGAACTATCGTAACTTTACATGTCATATGGCAACTCTGTATATATGTATATATATATTGATACTTGGCAGCACAGTTAAATATATCGAGCTGTCATTATTCATTCTTTATATAATTATTCATCCTGTAGAATCATCGTTCATACAACTTAAATTAAATGAAATATAATTATCTGAATTGAACAACCTGTGTAACACTTCTTCGAATTAAACCACAACAGTAATATGATAGTATTTTAGCGCAGAACTTCTTTTTGCGTAGGCGGCCTTCGGCCGCACTTAGGGATTATAACCCTCACTACGTAGAATTCTCTTTGTTGCCAAAGAAAGGGGGCTGAACACCTTTTGCAGAGAACACCTTTCTGCGTAGGCGGCCTTCGGCCGCACTTAGGGATTATAAC